AAAGGATGTCACATAGAGGAGGGAGAAATGTTGTTTTCTGCTGCTCCAGAGAAGCGGACACGGAGCAATGGATCCAAACTACAAGAAAGAAGATTCCACCTAAACATTAGGAAGAACTTCCTGACAGTAAGAGCTGTTCGACAGTGGAATTTGCTGCCAAGGAGTGTGGTGGAGTCTCCTTCTTTGGAGGTCTTTAAGCAGAGGCTTGACAACCATATGTCAGGAGTGCTCTGATGGTGTTTCCTGCTTGGCAGGGGGTTGGACTCGATGGCCCTTGTGGTCTCTTCCAACTCTATGATTCTATGATTCTATGACTGGACCTAATGGTCAGGGGTCCCTTTACCTTACAGCATTACAAGTCCCTCCTGGCAACCTGGATGGGGATGAGGCCAGGCAGAAAAAGTCCCTCAGCACCTCTGCGCTGGGCCAATCCTGCAAGACAGGCCAGATCTCCCCACCCCTGGGGGGCTTTGATTCTCCTTTCCGAAAAAGTCCCAAGAGGATATCTGGAGAAGCCTCTTTTTGGAAAGAAACAGCATTAAAAACTCATCCCCCCTCCTCTTTCCCCCAAGTCCAGCTGGGGAGGGGGCATTTACAGTGGTGCCTCGCAAGACTAAATTAATCCGTTCCGCGAGTCTCTTCTTCTTGTGGTTTTTTCGTCTTGCGAAGCACGGCTATTAGCGGCTCAGCGGCTATTAACGCCTTAGCGGCTTTAAGAAAAAGGAAACAAACTCGCAATAACTCGCAAGACGTTTCGTCTTGCGAAGCAAGCCCATAGGGAAATTCGTCTTGCGGAACAACTTAAAAAACGGAAAACTCTTTCGTCTAGCGAGTTTTTCATCTTGCGAGGCATTCGTCTTGCGGGGCACCACTGTATTTAATTCCTCCAATCTTTGCCTTGAAGATTTTTAAAGGGTTCCTAAGACCTTGATCAGTTTCAAATCCTGTCATCCATGGCCCATTTCAGGAAGCTGCAGAGGCCGATTTCCCCTGACACTGTCCATCTCTCACCCCCCCAACTCAAAATCTCTCCCAATCCAGAGGTGACTCTGTTCTCCAGCTGCTTCCACTTCCTCTCCCCTGCTTGCCCTCCAGATCTCCGCCCCACTGAGGCAGGGGCTTCAGCAGCAGATTTCGGAGGGGGGCAGATCAGAGAGGAGCATCACAAGGTGGAATGGGGCTGCCCCCTTTTGAACGGAATAGGACTGACCTCTGAGTCAACAGGCACAGGGTGGGGCTGGAAATCCCTTTGTAGTTTGGGTGCACGGAGGAGGGGGCTTGATCTCTGCGCTTCGAAAAGGATCTTGCAATGTACATTAAAGGAGAGGGAAAGCAAATCCTCCCACCCCCGCTCCCCAAATAATCCCCCTATATGCGGCACCTCTTTCTCCTCTTTCCAAGTCCGCTTCTCTTCCGCGAATGAGGATGGAGACCCCTCCCCTCCAAATTGCCTCCACCCCAAAAAATAACTTCCTGCCTCTCTAGGAAGCGGGGCTCATTGACCCAGAGGGAGGGGGAGGGGCAGGAGAGCCGCCTCCCCCTCCTTGCAAATAGGAATGCCCTTCTCAGCCGGCAAGTTCTATATTCCCATTTATTTAGTGAGAAATTCATGGGTTCGATTACCTACAGCGGCAGCGAAAGACGACCCACCCCCACCCCCCACCCCGATTTCTGAAAAGCCTCCCCCCGTGATCTTTATTGTTGCAACAGGACTTCCACCCACCACATGGAAGAAGCAGCAAGAAGCTCTTACTTATAAGCTTCCCTTTTCACACTCAACACCCGTAGTGTAACATTACACATACGTCATATATACATCACAGCTATGTCATAACCTGGGAGAGGGTCTTCTGGCAGAAGGTTTGCCTCCATCCCTCCCTTGACCTGCGCTTCACTCCCAAGAAAAAGCGATCTACTCACATTGTTAAAATTCTGGCTGTGATCTACCCGTTGTGATTGACAGGCAACGTTGTTGAGCTAGTTGTTGAGCTTTTTTTGGGGGGGGGACCAAAGTTGTTGAGCATTTTTTATGGGGGGCGGAAACAGTTGCGAACGTTTTTCTTTTTTTGGTCCCGCCCATCTCTAAGGGTTTTGTTTTGTGGGTTGCGCAGATCGCTGAAGGTCCTGTGATTGACAGCAATCAACCAATGACGTCTGAAATAAAAATTTTACGATCTTATACATATATAATAAATGTACCAACCAAGCACATACCACATGTCTGGAGCAGCACAGGAGGACTGCCCTGAAACCATTTTCAAATGTTTTCTCTGCAAGGAGAAAGGGGGTGGGGGAGCCTCCCCATTGTCTTTTCATTCACAAATCCTGTCTTAGGGGTATGTCTGTGTATGAATAGGGTGAGCCTGTGACCTGGCTCAGGAACTAAGTATTTGTCATTACAAAAGACAGGCCAGGCTCCCCAGGGTATCCAAGCAAGTAAGCCTTAACAGGTAATCTGCCGGACAGGAGGTAAACAACACACTCAGATTTCTGTTGTAGACCGCCCTTTCTGTAATGTAGGTATGATGTATCTGGGGTGGCGGTCTTGGACTCCAGGGCGGGCAATTAAAAATGTCTATGTAAGGGCGGACACACCTTTGTTCTGGGTCCTCCTCCTTCTCCTGAGTGTGAAGGGAGCACCCTGTTGCAACAGTTCAATAAAGAACAGGCTTACTAGCTGCTTTGCTTCTCAATATTCTCTGGTTGGCCTCTGTTATGTTCTCCGACCGATGAGAAACTGCAGAGGACTCCATAAGGGCTCTTGTGTCCCACATAAGGGAATAAGGGCAGATTTACGTTTATTACACGTCCCACGATCGACAGGTAGATTGCAATCGACCTGTTGAACGTGCCTGATGTACATGTTCCTGTTCTCCCAGTCGAGTTAATCACTCCCTTTTGTCTTGACCAAGATCCTTAAAAAACTGCGGCCGGGTTTACCTTGTTTCTGATATGGCTACAACACAGGAGCCAGAATGCCAGCGATTATCAGCCAGGCAAGGAGGCTGCTGAGTACGTGGTCTCAGGCTCGAGGGATTATGGCTGCCTCTGCCCACGTCCAAGACGCCCATTCCTTTCCTGAACAGAACAAAGTTGGATTGCGCAAATCTGATACCTGAGCGATTTTATATGACTTTCTAAAGTTTCCCCAGTAAGCCAGTACGGTACATAGATACATTTATCAGTGAATTGTTACATTTGGAAATCTGCAGTGGAGGCCCTTTGAATAGAGATAGGAAAACTGGTTGATGAAATGTTTTGTAGGGACATTTGCAGGAGTGATTGTGATGATTTTGGAAAATTTCATAAATTTCCTTCTTTTTTAAAAAAAATTCTGTTTATTAAGTTTTCAAAAGCAAATTCAAAGAAGAACATAAGTCAAATTTCCAAAAACAAATTCCACTCCATAAATTCCGGCACCAGTTCCTTTTTTAAAAAAAGAGAGAGCTGATGGAGAAAGTTAGGCTTTGTTGTGTGGGGAGGCAGCTCAGTGATAGAGCAGTTGCTTTGCATGCAGAAGGTCTCAGATTCAAGTTTGGTGGGGGTGTACCGTGGTCCACGTCTTCTGGGGGAAAGTTTTTTATCAGACTCCCCAAATCACTAAACAATCTAACTGTCCTAATCCAGCACTTGCCTCATTATAGCTAGATTTTATCCCATATTCTAGGCTTCAGTCTAAAGAATTCATTTCCTTTCTGTTCACAGCAGCTAAACTACAATTATTGCCCAATGATGGAAGGAAACCTCTAAAAAACCAATAGGGGCTTGGATCAATAACATCTGGACCATTGCCAGGGACCAGAGAGGGTGCCTGAGGCACCTGTGACCCTAATATCCATCTTGCAAACAATGAGATTGACGCATTGGGCGTACATGCTCTATCAGAACACCTCACATGCCATCAGTGTTTAATCAAAGGCATCTCCAAAAAAGATACCTTTGACACAATCTGGTCTCTATTTATTGAAGAACACAGTATTTTAATGCCATCACCATCAACATCATCATCACCACGGAGGTATTTGTGGAGGGGATATAATGATTGGCAATGTCTAGCCAAGCAAATCGGTAGTTGGGTTCCTACTGAGGGTACTGGGGGAGCCAACATGACCATGATGTGGGATTGAGGATTGGAGTGATCATTCTGTGATATTATGGCAGTGGACAAAGCTGTATTTATTTTGAATAAATGATTTATTTTAAAAGGTCTTGAATTCAATGCTTTTGCCTGCAGGAGGTCCCAGGTGGAATCCTCGGCAGGCAGAGAGACGCCTGTTGGCATCCGTCTGTCTCAGGAGGCGATGGAGGAGGGGGCCTTTGGGGTGAAGTCCAACTGTGGGCAGCTTGCAGGACCTGGAAGGACCTGGAGGGAGGAGCAGCTCCAGATGAACTCCGCTTTCAGCCTCCTATACTGCCTGCTCTTTCTACAAGATGGGCCTGTAAGTTACAATTCTGTAAGTTTTAATTGTTCCTTTATTGCAATTATAAAAATGGGCTTTATGCTGCTGTTCTTATAACGGGGAACTGGACTAGAAGACCTTAAGAGTCCCTTTCAACGCTTCAGTTCTAGGATTCCAGAGCCAATCCTGCTTCCTAAACACTACTGTCATGCTCCACTTTTCACAACTCTCCATTCCCAACTCTCTGCCAAATACCAAATATCAACAGACTTTCAGCACGTTTACTCTTAATGAGCACTCCAGAGTCACATTCTGCACATCCCTAACAGTACATTATCTTTAGCATTAAACTTACAATTATGAGAAATTACCTTCATTGCTTTAATACATATATGTACAACTTTCCACCAGAACATCAAATATACTCCATGTACTTACAATTGATTTTTCCCTATCTGAGATTGTTGATATGAAGCACAAAGTGAACTCTGTGGGGAAAACCTGAAACACTCCATATATCTAAATGGGTTCTCCCCTGTGAGAGTCCATAGGTGTTGATTAAGAACTCCATTATAAGTGAAAGACATTCGACACTTTCATTTAAACAGTTGCTTTTCTGTGAGTTTGCTGATGTTTTCTAAGAGTTACACTCTTACCGAAGCACTTTCCACACTCCAAACATTTAAATGGTTTCTCCCCTGTGTGAGATCGTTGATGTTTAGTAAGAGCTCCACTCTCAATGAAACCCTTTCCACAATGTATACATTTAAATGGTTTCTCCCCTGTGTGCGTTCGTAGATGTATATTAAGATGTGAACACCGACTGAAGCTCTTTCCACACTGCATACATCTAAATGGTTTCTCCCCTGTGTGAGTTCGTAGATGTAGAGTAAGGTGTGAGGTGTGTCTGAAGCTCTTTCCGCACTCCATACATTTAAATGGTTTCTCCCCTGTGTGAGTTTGTTGATGTCTTGTAAGAGCTCCACTCTCACTGAAACCCTTCCCACAATCCATACATTTAAATGGTTTCTCCCCTGTATGAGTTCGTTGATGTACAGTAAGGATTCCATTGTGACTGAAGCCCTTCCCACACTCCATACATTTAAATGGTTTCTCCCCAGTGTGAGTTCGTTGATGTATAGTAAGGTGTGAACACTGACTGAAGGTCTTTCCACACTCCATACATTTAAATGGTTTCTCCCCTGTGTGAGTTCGTTGATGTACAGTAAGGATTCCATTGTGAATGAAGCTCTGCCCACACTCCATACATTTAAATGGTTTCTCCCCTGTGTGAGTTCGTAGATGAACAGTAAGTATTCCATTGTGACTGAAGCCCTTCCCACACTCCATACATTTAAATGGTTTCTCCCCTGTGTGAGTCCGATGATGTCTAGTAAGGTGTGAACACTGACTGAAGCATTTCCCACACTCCATACATCTGAATGGTTTCTCCCCTGTGTGAGTCCGTTGATGTATAGTAAGGCTTCCACTCTGACTAAAGCTCTTTCCGCACTCCAAACATCGGAATGGTTTTTCCTCTCTGTGAATTTGTTGATGTACAGTAAGGCTTCCACTCTGACTGAAGCTTTTTCCACATTCCGTACATTTAAAGGGTTTCTCCCCTGTGTGAATTTGTTGATGTACAGTAAGTTTTCTACTTTCACTGAAACACTTCCCACACTCAATACATTTATATGGCCTTTCCCCCGTATGAATTCTTTGATGTAGAGTAAAACTTCCACTCTCACTGAAGCACTTCCCGCACTCAGTACATTTAAATGGTTTCTCCCCTGTGTGAGTTCGTTGATGTACAGTAAGGTGTGAAGACTGTCTGAAGTTCTTTCCACACTGCATACATTCAAATGGTTTCTCCCCTGTGTGAATTCGTTGATGTATGGTAAGTTTTCCCTTTTCACTGAAGCTTTTTCCGCACTCCATACATTTAAAGGGTTTCTCCTCAGTGTTAGTTTGAAGATGTGTCCTAAGGTGTTCACTCACACTGAAGTACTTTACAGATGGCCCCTCAAAATTCTGATTGCCTTCTCCATCACCTGGTTTAAAGTGTTGCGGGTGGAAGATAAGAAAATATTGTTAGGTATTCAAGGAAGAGAACCAGAGAACTTAACACACAGCAAGGCCAATCAGCACCTTTTCTTCTGTGGTGAGGTGAGACATCTATGGCCCTCCAGATGTGGTTGGACTCTAAGTAGCATCAACCCAAGCAAAGACGGCCAATGACCAGGGATGGCGGGAGTTGTAGTGCAGCAACATCTGGAGGGACACACTTTCCCCCTCCTGTGAAAATGCTGCACCTCTGTATTCAGTTTTCTCCTTCCTCCATGATCTGTAATTTCTTGCTGATACATTCCAACCCACTGTAGACATCACCTACACCTGCACCAGGATGCTGGAAAAGATGGGCCCTCATTCTGATCCAAATGGCTCTTTTTAATGATAACGATAATGATAATAATTTACTTGTACCCCACCCATCTGGCTGTGTTTCCCCAGCCATTCTGGGCGGCTTCCAACAAAGATTAAAAATACATTAAAACATCACACATTAAAAACTTCCCTGAACAGGGCTGCCTTCAGATGTCTTCTAAAAGTCTGGTAGTTGTTTATCTCTTTGACATCTGATGGGAGGGCGTTCCACAGGGCAGGCGCCACTACCAAGAAGGCCCTCTGCCTGGTTCCCTGTAGCTTTGCTTCTCACAATGAGGGAACTGCCAGAAGGCCCTCGGTACTGGACCTCAGCGTCCGGGCAGAACAATGGGGGTGGAGACCCTCCTTCAGGTATACTGGGACAAGGCCATTTAGGGCTTTAAAGGTCAACACCAACACTTTGAATTGTGCTCGAAAATGTACTGGGAGCCAATGCAGGTCTTTCAGGACCGGTTTTATATTCCTACACACTGAAAGGAGACATACAAAGGTACAGTCTCCCAGCAAAGTGGAAGTATGGACCTCTCAATCTGTCCAGGACAACATGCCTGTATTTTTCAGTTCCAAACGAGGAGATGAGCTCAGACCTGAGTATCAGAGCCACTCTATGAGGAATAAGTAAAACATAAGTGCTATATTACTAATACAGTGGTACCTCTGGTTATGAACTTAATTTGTTCCAGAGGTCCGTTCTCAACTCGAAACCGTTCTTAACCTGAGGCACACTTTCACTAATGGGGCGATTCCGCTCGCATCCTGGGGCAAAATTTGCAACCAGGAGACCTACTTCTGGGTTAGCAGAGCTCGTAAGCCGAAGCTTTTGCAAGGAGGACGGTTTGTAACCAGAGATATTACTTTATATGACTCTAAAAATATACAAAAATATTAAACTTTTGAAGCAGAGGCAACAAAGTATCTGCTGGCCCATTAAAAGCTAATAAATGATATGGACCAGGAAACCTCATACCACAATTATTAACCTGTGAGTCTCTTTGTTGATTTTCCCTTTTTTGGTTTTTTGGGGGAATTCATACCACAATATCAGCTTATGAAGAGTTACCTACTGATAAAAGTACAGCGTTGTTATAAACTACAATCTTCAACATCAACTTCGTTGGGCAGGTCAGGTTGTTCAGATGCCTGATTATTGTCTTCCAAAGCAACTACTCTATTTCCAACTTAAGAATGGAAAGTGAAATACAGGTGGACAACTAAAGTGGTTTCAAGATATTCTGAAGGCTAATCTAAAAAAATGGGGTATAGGCATAGAAAATTGGGAAACACTGGCTTGCAAGAGTGCCAACTGGAAAATAGCTTTACCAAAGGCTTCATGGACTTTGAAGAAGCACATACTCAGGACGAGGAAAGCATGTTTAGCAAAACCTCGCTGTGATTAACTCCTGCCCGGAAACCTATGTCCCCACTGCCAAAGGATGTGTGGATCCAGAATTGGACTCTACAGTCAATTACGGACACACCGTTAAAACCGTGTTCGTGGAAGACAATCTTACTCAGCTATAAGAGGTTGCCAAAGAAGAAGACACAGCATGAATAAATGGCTCAAACAGCAGATTCACACCTCCAACGTCTAACAGACAAGAGGGTTACAAATCTGCCCTTACCTAGAGAGGCCACCATCTCATAATTCTCCTCCATGACTTCCTTGTGCAGAGCTCTTTGGCCAGGATCCAGCAGAGCCCACTCCTCCTCCGTGAAAAACACAGCCACCTCCTCAAAGGTCAAGAGGGCCTGGAAGAAGAAGAGGAAGAAGACAGAGCTGCTCTTAGATCCCCATCATTCCCACTCAACACAGAGGGAGGCTGGGTGGTCCCATCTGTGCCTCTTCCCTCCTCCCTGCTCCCGTTGCTCTTTCGCTACCTGAGGAAGCTGCCTGGCTCCTCTTTCCACTCCACCTCTGAGAAGAGACCGTTCAGAGGGGGTCTCAGAGGCCATTGTGTTGCCAGTGGAAAGGACAGTGGAGGAGGAGGAGGCGGAAACAGGGCCACTTCCGGGACTCTCTCAGCTGTTGACAAGATGCACTTCAATGCAGGGAGCAGCTCTTTAAGGAGAACAATGGAGAAATTATTATTATTATTATTATTATAGAATTTATGTACCGCCCTATACCCGGATGTCTCAAAACAGTTCACAGAAAGGCAGATTTATTTACAAATTACAAATACCAGTACTAATAAACTAATACCCATAAATCCTAATTACAAAGAACTGGAAGGATGTAATCCTTTCTACAGGCACTTTATAATAATAGAAGCTGCCTCAGTCTTTAGGGGACATTCAGCTTCGGATTCTAAAGTTCTAGGATCAAATCCCAAACTCTGAATGGAGCTTCGCAGAAAGCATTACGGTCAGTATCTCTGCAGATCTCACTGTTCCTTTCCTCCAAACAGCCACCCAGGAAACCAGTTTCTGACCCTTTGATACATTTAGAATAAAGAAAATAAGGAAAACTCCTAAATTATGTGCAGAATTTGCACTCAGAAGAAAAGCAGTATCTAGAGCGCACCAGGGTGCAGAAGCTCCATCCAAGGGGAGCAGATGGAAATATTTAGAGCACTCTATGCACTAACATGGGACGCGGGTGGCGCTGTGGGTAAAACCTCAGTGCCTAGGACTTGCCGATCGTATGGTCGGCAGTTCGAATTCCCGCGGCGGGGTGAGCTCCCGTCGTTCGGTCCCAGCTCCTGCCCACATAGCAGTTCGAAAGCACCCTTAAGTGCAAGTAGATAAATAGGTACCGCTGTATAGCGGGAAGGTAAACGGCGTTTCCGTGTGCTGCGCTGGTGCTGGCTCGCCAGAGCAGTTTCGTCACGCTGGCCACGTGACCTGGAAGTGTCTTCGGACAGCGCTGGCCCCCGGCCTCTTAAGCGAGATGGGCGCGCAACCCGAGAGTCGGACACGACAGGCCCGTACGGGCAGGGGTACCTTTACCTTTACGCGCTAACATGGATTGTAGTTTAGGGGACAGAAATAGGAACTTCAGTGGCTTATGGGCCCCTAGTCCTTCCTCATAGGAACCTGTGTGTGTGTGTGTGTGTGTCTGTCCCCTTTTATCTTCCCTACACTGCAAGGAAGGACAGGAGGAGAAATAATCAGGGGGTCCAAAGTGGGCACAGGGCATCCCTCCTGAGCATGGGGATGGGAGACTGGGTCTCCCTGGTGGAAGCCCAGCACCCAAACTGCAGGGTGGGGAACCTCAGACCCAGGGGCTAAATTGGCCCTCAAGGCCTCTCTCTCTTTCTCTCTCTGGCCCTCAGGAATTTCCCCAGCGCCACACCCTCTTTCCATCACTTCCCAGCTGCCTCCTGGGGGGCTTTTGTGTGGCTGGAAAATATCCCTGGAAGGCAGGCAGCTCCTGGACAAAGCTCAGAGTCACCTCCATAGCTCTACTCTGTCCTCTGCCACACCCATCAATGGAAAGTGGACCCTGGAAGGCTGCTTAGGAGTGAATGAGGACCTCAGGCTGGAGAACGGTCTCCACCCCTGTCCCAAACACTAAACTGGCTGTAATCCTGGCCCACCTTGCAGAGTTCTGGTGTGAGCATTGCCCAGGTGGTGGGTTTTAGATCACCTATGCTATCCTGCCAACCTAGCAGTTCGAAAGCACGTCAAAGTGCAAGCAGATAAATAGGGAAAGGTTTACCTTTCCCCGGCAGGAAGGTAAACGGTGTTTCCATGCACTGCTCTGGTTCGCCAGAAGCGGCTTAGTCATGCTGGCCACATGACCTGGAAGCTGTACGCCGGCTTCCTCAGCCAATAAAGCAAGATGAGCGCCGCAACCCCAGAGTCGGTCACGACTGGACCTAATGGTCAGGGGTTCCTTTACCTTTACCTTACAGTGTTATAAGGCCCTCCTGGCAACCTGGATGGGGACGAAGCCAGGCAGGAGTGAGGCTGCCAGAACCAGCAGAAAAAGTCCCTCAGCACCTCTGCGCTGGGCCAATCCTGCAAGGCAGGCCAGATCTCCCACCCCTGGGGGCTTTGATTCTCCTTTCCGACAAAGTCCCAAGAGGATATCTGGAGAAGCCTCTTTTTGGAAAGAAAGAGCATCAAAAACTCATCCCTCCCCTTCTCTTTCCCCCAAGTCCAGCTGGAGAGGGGGCGGTTCTTTAATTTCTCCAGTCTTTGCCATGAACATATTTAAAGGGCTCCTGAGACCTTGATCAGTTTCAAATCCTGCCATCCATGGGCCCCTTTCCCTTGCCAAGCAGGAGGGAAACCGACAAGGTGCTTTTTCATGCTTCAGGAAATGGAAAATGTGCCTCATTCCTCCAGTTTTGGGGCACAAAAGGAGCACAGCACCCCCCCCAAGTGCACCCCCAAACATGGGAAACCCAACAAGGCTCTTTCATTTGTGCCAAAGCAACCTCAGCCGGCCAGACTAGGATTTCTGAAAGGGGAGCTGGAGGGGGGGGTCCCCTTCCTTCTCACATCAGCCTCTTTCTTACTCAGGAAGCTCCGGAGGCCAATGTCAAGGAATGTCAAGGGAACTGTCCACCTCTCACCCCCCACCCAATTCGAAATCTCCTCCCTCTCCCCCAATCCAGAGGCGACTCTGTTCTCCAGCTGCTTCCACTTCCTCTCCCCTGCTTGCCCTCCCGATCTCCGCCCCACTGAGGCAGGGGCTTCAGCAGCAGATTTCGGAGGGGGGCAGATCAGAGAGGAGCATCACAAGGTGGAATGGGGCTGCCCCCCCCCTTTGAACGGAGAAGGACTGACTGCTGAGTCAATATGCACAGGGTGGGGCTGCGAATCGCTTTGTAATTAAGTTCCACTGGGGGGGGCGCCCTTTTGTGGTCCGTCTCAAGTGTCTTCGCCCCCCTCCACCATGGGAGCCTGGCTTGATCTCTGCGCTTCGAAAAGGAGCTTGCCATGCAAACCCTCCTGCATCCCGGCCCCCTTCCCCACAGAGAAAGGGCGGAGCCCTTCCCTTATTTCCTGTCCCCCCCCCATTCCCGCCTCCTTTCCCAAATGCCCTGTTTGTACATTAAAGGAGAGGGAAAGCAAATCCTTCTCCCCCTCCCCAATAACCCCCCCAATATGCGGCACCTCTTTCTCCTCTTCTCCAAGTCCGCTTCTCTTCCGCGAATGAGGATGGAGACCCCTCCCCTCCAAATAGCCTCTTCCCTCCCCCGCAATAAAACTCCCTTCCTGCCTCTCTAGGAAGCGGAGCTCATTGACCCAGAGGGAGGGGGAGCGGCAGAAGATCCGCCGCCCCCTCCCTGCAAACAGAAATGCCCTTCCCAGCCTGCAAACCCTATATTCCCGTTTATTTAGTGAGAAATTCATGGGTTCAATTCCCCGCAGGGGCAGCGAAGGGCGACCCCCGCCCCCCGAATTTCTAAAAATTCTCGTCCTGGGAAGGAGTTTAGAGCAGTAACTTAAGACAACCCTAAAGGCTGTCATTGCAATGGGTACCTTTTTTACAAAAGAGGGAGCTGATGGAGAAAGTTAGGCTTTGTTATATGACTTTCTAGAGTTTTCCCAATGAGCCAGTAGATAGATACATTTATCAGTGAATTGTTACATTTGGAAATCTGCAGCGGAGGCCCTTTGAATAGAGATAGGAAAATTGATTGATGAAATGACATTTGCAGGAGTGATTCCAACCGAATATTAAAAACAATACAACATCATACATTAAAAACTTCCCAAAACAGGGCCGCCTTCAGACTCTGGGGTTGTGCCACACAGAGTTGTTCCACCAGGCCTTTGGTCAGGGCCCAGCCTGACTCCCTCCTCTGGCAACCTGCACAGAATTTTGCTTAATGGTTGCCATTAATTTGATTTTAATTAATTTTTATAATGAAATGTTTTAGAATGTTGGATTATTTTATTTTTTGATTATTTGATTGTTGTTAGCCGCCCTGAGCCCAGCTTCGGCTGGGGAGGGCGGGATATAAATAAAATTTATTATTATTATTATTATTATCTCACTTTATTGGCTGAGGGAGCCGGCATACAGCTTCTGGGTCTTTTAGCCAGCATGAGTGATCCACTTCTGGCAAACCAGAGCAGCGCACGGAAATGCCGTTTACCATCCCGCTGGAGTGGTACCTATTTATCTACTTGCACTTTGACATGCTTTTGATCTGCTAGGTTGGCAGGAGCAGGGACCGAACAACGGGAGCTCACCCTGTCACAGGGATTCGAACCACCATCGTTCCGATTGGTAAGCCCTAGGCTCAGTGGTTTAGACCACAGCGCCACCCGCGCTTTTGCCTTATTGTCAGGGGTTCAGGAGCAGAGGCAAGGGCAAGGGAGGAAACAGAGAGCGAGGGGGAGGAGGCAGAAGAAAAGATGAGTGATGACGACGACCCGAGATCTCCGAGTCTTTCCAGTGAATCAGAAGATTCACAGAAAGGAGCACCAGTGGCCAGGGCAAGGGGGAGCCTAGGGGACGCCCCAGGAAGATAGAGCCAGAGGGGACTCAGAGGGGAGCAGTTGGAAATCGGGACCAGCGTCACCGCCAGAGAGCAGGGAAGAGGTAGGAGCCAGGGATCAGCGCTGGCAGCTCACAACAGGGGGAGGGCACGAGTCAGGAGTGGCCACACCTCCATCGGGGAGCGAAGAAACGGTCAGACGGAAGGTGGAAGGTTGGGCGCGCGCGCAAGTTCAAATGCACAGGAAGGCGGCACAGCAGGCAGCCCGGACAGGGAGCCAGGTCCTAACGCCCGCCGAAAGGAGGGAGAAGAGTCAGGGGGGGGAACGTCAGCGTCAGAAGAATCCCGGAAAGAAGAGACCCCAGGGGGCAGAGGGACCCAGAGAAGAACAGTCAGGCGGAAAAGGTGGAGCAGGGCTAGGATATTAAGTTGGTGTACAAGGGGCGGAGACTCAGATGGAGCTTCGCCGATCTAACCCCTAGACGTAGAGCTGGGGCGCTACGGCTTGAAAATGGAAACTGTACTTCAATAAAGACTTTTGTACATTACTGC